AGTCCCACATCCACGTGCGTCATGGCCAGTTCAAGCAAGGCCAGCTCAAGCAAGGCCACCACCGCGGCCAAAGGCAAGTCCCAGTCCAAGCACCCCGTGTTCGTGGCCCAGCCGGAGGAAAGACAGAAAAGTTTGCAGAATGAGAAGACCGTGTACAAGTGGATTGAGCAAGGGCAGGAGGCGGACCCAAAAGGGTATGGGCAGTACTGGGTGAGGTGTAGGCTGTGCAACTAGTTGTTCACAACATCGAAGTCACGTGCGGTGCAACATTTCCTGAAGAAGAGAGCAGCATGTCCTTACCGCACGGGGGAGATTCTCCATCTGTTGGCGTTGGATGGAACTAACATTAAAGAAGGGGGTGCAACAACGGAGCTGGAGCAGCATATTGTCCCACCTCCTGCACCGCGGAGGGAGTCCGTTGTAAACATTGACACCACCCAAGAGGCTGAGCCTTCCGATCCAGATGTGGTGGTGGGAGATGAGACGGCCCCTGGTCCGTCAGGTCCGACATCCACAAAGGTATCGAAATCGGGGTAGACAACACAAACTTCCATGAGGTAGTGGACAAAGAACACCGCCCAAAAGAGACTTTATCTTGTATGGGCGGAGGCATTGTACAAGGCGGGCATGCCATTCAACTTCATCCGGTTGGACAAGACGAAGGAGCTTCATGACGTGTACATGGAGTTGGCGGCCCGCAATGCACGAATGGATTTGCCTGCCTTTGAAACCATCCGGGCAGTCGCTTTGAATATTGTGTATGACAATGTTCGGGCACAGGTGCGGCCGCTTATGGACAAGTGGGACATCAGCGGTTGCACTCTCATCACTGATGGGACCCAAGACAGGAAGTCGAGGGCTGTGTTGAACTTTGTAGCGGCTGGAGAGAGCGGGGCTGTGCTCATCAAGGTTGTGGATGTCTCTGATGGGAAGAAAAATGCGAGAGCGTTGGCAAAGTTATGGGAAGAGGTGATAAGGGAGATCGGTGTTCACAGGGTCAATGCAATCTACACTGACAATGCATCAGCGAACAAGCGAGCGGCGAAACTCCTATCAATGAGGACTGACAAAGCCATTGCGAAGATTCCTTGGATCCCGTGTGCTGCCCACACCCTGAGCTTGCTACTGAAAGACATATCCAACATCGCATGGATCAAGACGGTGTGGAAGAAGGGAAGGAATTTGGTGAAGTTCATAAAGAATCACCAAAGCACGATGGGGTTGCTGAGTCGGTGTTCCATGGGAGACAGGAAGGTGCTTGTCATGCCAACGGAGGTCAGATTCACGTCTGTTTACCAGATGTTGATTCGTATATGGGACAGGAGACATGTGCTGAAGCACATGATGGACAACGGCTGGTTGGACATCTACTGGAGCAGCTGGAAAGACAGGGAGGATGCAGAGGATATCTTCGCTCATGTGAGATGTGACATCAGGTGGCAGAAGGTGGACACCATTCTCTCCATCATGAAACCCATATACGACCTGCTGCGAATGATGGACAGTGATGGGGTGGCACTTTCACAGCTGTGGCGCTTCGACGACCTCCTCAAGAACCGGATGCAGACCATGTCAGGTGTGACCAGCGAGCAGCACCACGAGATAATGAAGCTGGTCGTCGATCGTTGCAAGATGATGCGTCAGCCAGCCCATGCAGCAAACTTCTTGTTGTCACCTGCGCGGAGGGACCCCAGATGGTTGCTGAACAATCTCTCCCCACTCGTCCACAATGGATTGAAGTTCTTCTTGACACAGTTGGGCGGGAACTCTTGGGGCGATTTGGACTCTCACGAGGAAGTGTGGAACAGCCTGTGGACATTTCATTGCCGACCACCGAAGGAGAAGATGAAGGATGAGGACTTGACGAATCGGTTCGCTGTTGCCGACGCATCTTTGGAGAGGAAGACAGCCTCTCAATGGTGGGGCTTGTACGAGTCAAAGCACATCGAATTGCAGAAAATCGCAATGCGGGTGACGGCATGTGGAGCACGGCAACGCCATGTGAAAGGAATTGGTCGTCCTTGGACTTGGTCCACTCCAAACGGCAGAACAACTTGTCCAGTGAAAGTGTAGCCAAGTTGGTCTACATTCACTGGAACATGCAGTTGTTGTGGGTTTCTAGGTGCACGACTGACGGGTTCATTGACCTGTGGGCAACCTTCTTCGACGAGCCTGAGGCACCTCTAGAGGCGAACGATGCAGCCAAGGATCGCCGTGAAGTGGACAAGGAGGAGGAGGCGGCGAGGGTTGCACGCCCGAAGAAAATTCCGAAAGGGAGGCTTCCCGCTGGCTTGTTGAGCGATGATTCTGGGAACAGTGACAACGAGGACTTGGCGTGGTGTGACAAGGTGGACAACAGGGTGCATCGAGCACGAGGTGGAAAGGGGAAAGGGAAGGCCGCTGTGGTTGAAGACGAGGAGGACGAGTGGGATGATGCTGATGATGATGACACCGACTCAGATTTTGAAATTCGTCCACACACGGGTTGCACGGACTCTAACACGGACGGAGGACGGGCCGACTTGTGGGACGTGCCTGAAGCGACGTGTCACTTGTACAATGACGATGACCTCATCGTTGAGGACAGTGAGGCACGTGATCGCAGGGTCAGAGCGGAAGCACAATCTCTGGCGGACAGGGATCATGTAATGGTGCAACAGCGTATGGCAAAGGAAAACTCACGTCGACTAGCAGTCCCCGCACACCTGAGAACCGTGGAGGGGCATGTGCAGCAACAGGCCGAGCAACGACCACAGGAGCCGGTGCAGCAGCTGGTGGAGCAGAATCCGCAGCGGGTGGTGCGGCAGCAGCAGGAGCAGCGCCCGCAGCAGAAGCAGCAGAAGCAACATGAGGTGGAGCCAGAGCGGCAGCAAGTGGAGCAGCAGTTGCAGCAGGACATGGAGCGGGAGCAGCAGAATGTGAAGCAGCAACAACAACAACACAACGAAGAGCAACAACAACTGCAGAACGAAGAGCAGCACCAACAACCGAGCCAACAGTCGGGCCAGGAGCAGCACACGGGTCAGCAGCAGCAGCAAACGGATCAACAGCAGCACCTCGTCGAGCAGCAGCAACAACAGCCAAGGGATCAGCAGCAACAGGACGTGGAGCAGCAGCAGCACGATGATGAGCAGCAGCAACAGGACGTGGAGCAGCAACAACAGCAAGCGGAGCACCATCAGCAGTCGCAGCGCGATGTAGAGCAGCAGCAGCAGCAGCAGCCAAGAACAACAGCAGCAGCCGCAACAGTGACCACTACGACAGACACTGCACCAGAAGCTGTTGCTGGCTCCAGCTTTTACTGCCCACCACCGATGCCTCGCTTGGACGAGGCCATGGTCCATGACAACATGGACATTAGCAGGTCTGGGAGGAAGAGAAAGGTTCCCGTGGAACCTGCCGTTGCGAAGCGCGGGCGAGGGCGCCCAAGGAAGGGAGAGGGGAAGTCTGCTGCGGCAGTACCTGTTCTGCCCCCCATGGCGACAGCGGCCGGTAGGCCGAAACGCAAACAACGGAAGCGGGTGGTGGTCGAGGATGACCCCACCGGGGCAGAGGACAGCAGCGACGGGCAACGGGAGTCGCTCTCATGCACATGTCTCATCAGCATCTTCTTCTTCTTCTTCTTCTTTCGTACTCTTCTTCTTCTTCTTTCGTACAGACTCTACGGTGACTACACTGCGGTAGTTGTTTCTTAAGGTTCACAAACGATGGATCCGCACGCATACAGAGATTGTTGAGAGAGAGAGAGAGAGAGAGAGAGAGTTTCTGTGTTTCAGAACTTCTGGAAAAAAAAACTTTCTGCTGTGTGTGTCAGTGGTGTGTTTCTGCTGTGTGTGTCTGTGACTCTGTCACTCTACTTTCTGTGCTGATCTGTGCTGATCTGCGGTGTGTGAGACTAATGTGTGTTTCTGCTGTGTGTGTCAGTGGTGTGTGCATGAAGCTGTTGGTTGGAACCGGTTGAAGCTGGTGTGTGTCAGTGGTGTGTTTCTGCTGTGTGTCAGTGGTGTGTGTCAGTGGTGTTTTTCTGCTGTGTGTGTCAGTGGTGTGTGTCAGTGGTGTGTTTCTGCTGTGTGTGTCAGTGGTGTGTGCTTGAAGCTGTTGATTGCCCTGACTGTTTCATGCAACCGGTTGCTGGAACCGGTTGCCTTGACTGTTTCGTGTGACCCGTTGTTGGAACCGGTTGCCTTGACTATGTCATGCTACCGGTTGCTGCGCCCGGTT